CACGACTCTGAGTGCCATACCCCTGACTGGGCTGACCAGACTACCTCGAAGACCCCGCACTACTCGTAGCAATCTCCCCCTGCTGAATCTGTCATCCCTGAAACCACTGAGAACCGCCTGCTGGAACTGGAGGATACAACATATAGCCGCCAGAATACGGAGGATAACCGCCCTGGGGATATGGGTCCTGGGGATACTGATACTGTCCCGGGGCATAAAGAACAGCATCGCCCTGATAGTAGTAGGTACCACCTCGACCTGTCTGCCCATAACTACCTGGACCCTGAATCTGCTGAATCGGTACAGGTGGTGGCAAGAAAGTCTGTTGCGGCTTCTGCTGCTGACTCTGGGGACAATTTGCAACCCGATGTCCCATCTGCCCACAAGTAAAGCAACTACTGCTACCACGCCTACACTCACCAAAATGCCAATTATTACACCTGCGGCAAACTTGGGCCCTACCTCTACCAGCATCACCCTGTCTCTGGCCTCTAGCACCACCAGCAAACCTACCTCCACGTCCCTGACCAGTGGCGCTAAAACCACCGCTAGAAGAGCTAAACTAGTGCCACCCCTCTTGAAGTTCTGTGTCCTACGAGGTCCGAGAGACGCCTGACCTTTACCCTTATTATCCTTCCTCTGATTACCATCTTTCTCTTCCTTCTCACTCTCGCTCGGCATATTCTCTGAATCCTCAATTCTCAGCAAAATCTCATAAAACTCCTGGTAGGTATTACAATGGGTAGTGGTCGCCATCGAACGCCACTTCTTCTTAGTGCCTAAACGGAAACGACGAAGCATCTCCACCGGATTGCCAGCAACATCTGGATGATAGCGAGACAAATCAGTAAACCTCCGGTAGTACTCATTCGCTGTCAACTTCCCCTATCTCAACTCAGTGAATTCCTGCTTCTTTCGATCAATATACTCAGGAGGCACAAACCTTCTCCTGAACAACTCTCGGAAAACATCCCAATCAGTTTTCTCAGCTGGAGTTAAACGACGAAGCTCCTGCTCCCACCAGGACGCAGATTCCTTACCCAAAAACCACGATGTCGTCTCAACCCACTTTTCAACAGGGAGATTCCCCTGACTGTGCAAAACACGAAAAGTCTTCTCAATATGCTCTAACCATCGCTCCGTACCCTCATGACCCTCGTTGCCTTCGAACTTATCCAACTTCAAATTATACATAGTCTCCAGAGGAGTCCTCTGGGGAGGGCGGATCGCCGACTGAATAGCTGTAGCAATAGCTTCCCCCAACTGAGCTATATCGGGGAAACTAGGCTTAGCAGAGCGACGTGGTTCCCGACGAGGCGGCATAATTCTGATAGAAGACACCAGAACCATTAGAATACTCACAAAAACACAGGACAGCCAAACCTAGGCTCTGATACCAAACTGACACACACCGATCGAGACCAGGGCATGCTGGCCGTCACGTGGAAGTGACGTAGCCATGCGCACAGTGCGAAAGCTAATAAAATAATAATAATAAATAGTACGAATAAATAAAAACTAGTTGTACACAAAGTAACAATAACAAGTGCAAGCGTGAGTGGGCAAAAACAAAGCTTTTCGAAAACAATTTAATAAATAAGTTCTAACCCCTCGCCGTAAAACCTGTATACTTCCCAGAAAATAGAGTATATATATATATATAAATCATGCTCAAGAATATGCTATGCCAAAACCTCAAAGTAAAATGCAAGTGCTCAGGTAATATCGCATCAACAACACATAATCTGTCAGCCGGAGTCACCTAATGTGACCTGTACGACTGAATCTAGAGCTCAAATCTCAATCTCACTAACTAGACCTGCACACGAGTCGGAACCACCTAAAGTCGTCTGTACGACAAGCCTGGGTGTAATATATATATACACGCTCAAGTGCTACGATCACGTGAAGGCTGGGCGAATAATCGTGGGTCACCTACGAGTCGGAACCACCTAGAGTGGTCTGTACGACAGGACTGTGCACCTAACTTGGATCCAAGCTGAGCGTCTGGTGCGGGAGGTGAACATCACGTGAAGGACTGTGCCCAACTCTGGGCGGGAGCACTAACACCGAGGGTGCAGGTTATGAGCTCTCTATGCATCTCAAATCACTACTGAATGTAAACATAAATCACAACTCACCTGGCACTTACCTGTGCGTCCGCAGCACCAAACATGCATATATATAAACAATTAACAATGCATAAACAACGGCAAAACTATATGCATGGCATATAATGAATGAACGTTCTAAATAAATTTCTGGGAAAAGTATAAGTATATAGGTATATACGGAAAACCAAAAGCCCACTCACTGGTAAGTGGAAGGGTCGTAAGCCCCCTGCCTCGAGTGACCACGCTCGTCCTCAGGATAGGATTCACCTATATGCGAAACAACTATAAAAACGTTAATTTTAAAGCACATAACCAAACTTAAGAAATAACTTCTCATACAATGCTCAAATGGGGTGTATGAATACACCAACGTGATCTACTCAACCTCAGGATCATCCCTATATTTTTAGAAAAAAATTTCACCGCCGCACGCTCCCCCACGCGTCGGCCACGCGCAGGCACGCTGACGGCGTCAGTTAACGCCGTCAGGAATATTCCGTTAACTTTAACATATTCCGTCAACAGCGTTAGGAATATTCCGTCCAAACTAACGGAATATTCCGTCGTCTTCTCCGGCGAGGCTCCGGCGCCGTCGCCGGCGCTGGAAAATCTGGAAATTTTCAAATCGTCCTATTTTCTTCGTTTTTCAACCAATTTTCACAAAATTGGTACCAAATTGAAGCTTACAACGAGAGGAACAAAATCATACCACTTTCAAGTGCTAAAATCCACGAAATCTCGCCGGGAAAATACCCCCAACTCCGGCCAGCCTCGAAACTCACGATCCCGACGTCCAAAACCTTCAAACGAACCACCCCGAGCCTCCTAAGGACCTCACCAAGCTTCCTACAAGCTTGAAATTCCCAAAAACATAAGAATTTACGTGTGCATGAACAGTACCAAAAAATCGGGTATCCCGAGTTCGACGTGAAAACGAAGGTATCCTTACCTGAAATGGGTATGGTTAAACTCCAATGGACCTCACGAGCATGGATATGTACTTTGTTTCTTCGATCTGTGAAGATTACAAGGGTTTTGGGGGTGTGTCCGTACGAAATGGATGGAAATGAAAGGGAAATGGAGCTCGGGACAGGGTGCAGGGCAGGGGAAAAAGGTGTGGGGTGTAGGAGAGTGTGTGTGTGGCCCAAAACATGCCAACAAAAACCCAAAAACAACCACACAACGAAAATCACACTAGGGGCAAAATCGTCTTTTCACGCGTACGTTTTAAAATTTTTGGAATGGGCTGTCACAATAAAACTACGAAACATAATAAAATAATAAAACAGAAAATAAAATGTTTCCTATTTAAACTAAAATTTGGACTTCTTAGGAAATTAGACTTTTGACCAACCAAAATCAACTCCGATTTGGTCCCAAAAAGTCCCTTTTGAAAGTTGGAGACGTCCCCTACAAATCGTCAGAACGAATCTTTCTAAAAATATGCCATCTTGACCTCCAAAATACTTAAAACGTCCAAAAAGGTCAATCTAGTCCTTTATTTCATCGCCACGGTTAAATGGCTTGGTAGAAAAATCTGAAACTTTGATACAATCATCTTGAAAGAATCAAGAACATCCTTCAATTGGAATCACTCAAAAATTCATCTGTTTGATCACTTTTTACTTCAAAGGAATTCGCATGTTCTATATTGAAAATATATAACAAAATATCAAAATTATACCAAAATGACCAATAAACTATAACTAGGAATATGGTAAAATATATGGTATAATATGGACTCATTAGCCCTGTCTAGACATAGTCAAACGTCACCGACCTCAAACTTCGCGCTTGAGTCTCAATGTCACCATGGATGCATTCAAGGCTATAATTGTGCGTCAATTCCTTTCTAATCATTTGAATAAAAGAAAACTAATGAAAATGACTTAAAATTTTTTAGTCTTAACGAAAATGACAAAATAAAGAATAAAGTGAATAGTATCAGGATTGACTTTTTAGTGCTAAAATGTGATTTTTCGTTAAAGTGAACAGTACCAAAAGCTTTTCGTTAAAGTTTCATTTGAATAATCACCTTTGCATACGATTTAATAATCACGTTGGCAACTCCATACTCAATGCAAAACTCCAAAGCTTCCCGAATTGCTGCAGCTTCATGTCCATTATTTAAGTAGATCCAAAATTGCTAATCTAGCATAGTTTAATAATTTATTTACGTTGTCACTTAGTACTATGGTCTAATAGTATTCCTTTTCATTTGTAAATGAGAGGTAATATGTTCAATTTTTATTAAAATCAAATTTGAACCACATTATTATTAGACTATTGTTAAGTTCGATCCATTTCTCTCCCCATTATAACGTTTGTTAAGAAAACCATTTCTCAACGCTACCATGGAATCTGGTACCTGCGTTGTACGTGATTTTTTAGAATGTTTTCTTAAACTCTCTTACACGAGGATCAAAATTTATAGGTTAAGGTACAAATGATGGGATAATTTGACTTGGCTGTTTTAAAAGTCAATTAGATCAGTAACTCGTTGGTTAGAATTTCTAGTAACACTTGCTTTACATTTTAATTTATGAAGTAATTTGACCAAAATGTCAAGAAACATCTATAAAGATGCTTATTTTACAAATAATCAATTCACCTTTTCTCCGTTGGAGCCCATCGTCCATTTCGCCATATTGCACGTGTGAACTGTAGCCATTGCATTTCCGTAGATAGGTCGAAAGTAGAGGGGCAAGCTTTACAACACAGACGCCCATTCAAGACCTCCACCTCGCTCTATTCGACTGGTTCCGTTCCGTCCGCCAAGGTTTACCAACCGACGCACCAAAACCTAAATTATCTTAACCATGGTTGAAATATTAACCGCGGTTAAGTTGGTCCCATCCACAACCCCCCAACAAAAAAGCAAAACATCAAACCCAACATTTTATAATCCTCAGCCAGTAGCCACAGAAGAAAAAACCAAACAACGCGCAAACGAGAGAGGGAAAACCAAAGCGACGAACAACCAACGACTCCACAACCAGAAATGGAGGCGGTTTACGTCGACGAGGAAGAGGTCTGGAAATGTCCAAAACACCCTTCCAAGCGCCGCAAGAGCGGAATCTGCCACGTCTGCCTCCGCGAGCGCCTCGTCATTCTCTGCCCCGACTGCGCTAACGTCCGCCCCTGCGGTTGCTGCGCTACGACGTCGTCTTCCTCGTCTTTTTCTTCGTCCTTTCGCTTCCCCGCCGGCGATGGCGCCCGAGTCTCGAAGCTTCTCGAGGGCGAGCCCTCGTTCCGGCGGTCCCGATCGGTAGCGGCCCCATTTCTGCGCTCCACCTCGAAGTTTTTCGGCGGTGCTTTCAGACACGCAGACTTTGACTCTGTCGGCGACGGGAGCAAACCCCAAACCGTCGGACGGACTAAAACACCGTCGTTTTGGTCGTCGGTATTCCGGTCGTCCCGCAGGAGCAAGACAAGTGAGGTTAATAATGGAGAAAACGAGACGACGGCGGAGAAGAAAGTGGAGAGCGAAATTCAAGAGAAGGAAGAAGACGCAGAAGCTGCGATGAGGAGGACGATGATGAGGAAATCGAGGTCGGTGGCCGTACCGATGATGTCATCAAAAACCGGTGGCGTTGGAGGTGAGAGACCGCCGGCAAAAGGCAGGGGACGGTATTTCCCGAGCCCGATCAAGGCCTTCCGGCACTCCAAAATTTCAAAGATCTTTTCCGAGCGGTCGCCTGTGTACAGAGGTTAATCATATTATTTTCTTTAGAAAACAAAAATAATTAAATTAGCATTAAAAAAACAATAAATTTTATTTTAATTTATTTTTGCAACGTGAGAATCCATAAGGCATTTTGATCTTGCAATGGTAATAATTATATTCACACATTCTAAATTAATGTGATATTTTATTTTTTTTTAATATTTTTTAGTGTGTAGAAAATATTAAAAAATTAAAAAAATGTGAGAGAAGTAATTTGGAATGTATGAATATAATTTCTCTCATTAGAATGCAATTTAGGATTATGTATTGCAAAGTTGGCAAATTCACTGATTATGATTTGCGTGTTCATTAATTTTAATTCTGTTATGCTCTTTTTATGGATTTGATTGATTTATGGTGATATTTATTTTACTTTTTACTTTTTACTATAATAATTGAATTGTTGGAGATAATTGATGAAAAATGTGAAGAGTTATACTCAAAAAACAGCGTGTCATAATTTAAACTATGTTTACAAATTAATAAAACACTTATTGTCAATCAAAATTTTATGAAATTACCAATTTAACTATCTAATTAAAATATAATGAATAAAAAATATGAGATAAAAATATAATTTCACACAATCAAATTTTGCTACTGTTTTCTCTTCCATCGCTTTCCATATTAAAAAAATAAAAAATATTCACACACAAAATTTGTGTTAGTATATGCTAGTATAACTGATGAGAACATATTTAGTCAAAAGAATTTAGTAACGTGTTACTAATTTGCGTTCCGATATGGAATGAGGGGCGGTCGTGGCGAACGATTAGGGTTGACGACTTGGTGGATGGGTTGGTATATGTGGGGTTGTACTTTTTTGACAACTTCCAGTCTCGCAACTCTTTAAACGGAATTGGAACAGTCAAACTCGGAGTAGTTTAGTCCACGTGGCACGTGGATGTTGGAGAATAAATATCAATACGTGAATCGACTTGGAAAAATACAAAGGAGATTGTTTTAAAGTGAAACCCTTATATACCCTCTGCCTCTCCTTATTTTTCATCCAAAAAGAATATCCATCTTTGCACAGCTGTGTACTTCGGTTCCAAAACTACATTAGTCTACTTTCGTCGTCGCTATTTTTAGTTTTCATCATTATTTTCAATTTAGCAAAACTTTTTTTTGGTAAAGCGACTCCATTAGCAACTTAAATAGATAACTGTTACGAGAAAGCGATTTCATTAGTGACTTCAATTGATATTTGTTAGGGTAAAAACAATCATTGCTGATAGAACTTACACCACAGTATATGAATATTTTATTTATTTTATAATAAAGCGTTATCTGCAATTCAATAAAACTTATAATTTAAATAATTAAATAGTTAGGGAAATGATTAATTTTGGAAGTCCGTGGGGCCGATATTTGTAGGTGTAGATGTTATGTACGTGACTAACGTCATTTCCGAATTCCGAGTGCCGGTTAATTGAGTGGTTAGGTGTACATTATGCTTTATGAGGGTGGAAATGTGAGGCTGACCTTCGTTTGAGGGCCATTTAGAGTCCTACATCTTTGATTATTTTTATCCGGATAATCTAGCGGAATGGTTGTTTAACATTTTAACTTCTTATGTAAATGTTTTTATTTGAGTTTAATAATATCTATATTTTGATGCGGAAGGAACATTTCACATCTATTTTTATTTTCCTGATTTATCTCTTTTTTTTTAAATAATAAATTAAGCATAAATAGAATGTTTCCCAAAACAAAATGGTGGCTTCCCATATTTTATTCTGGATTTTCCATCCATATTAATCAATTCTTAGCTTTTTGTTTATGATTTTTTAGTCAGGATTTATTTTTAATTAAAGTCGACTCTAAGTTGATTTACTTCATTATTAGTCAAATGAAACTAATCCCACTAATTTATTAATCATGGCGCTTTGGGATCAATTCTCATGAATGTATAATCTTAAAACAAATAAGAATAAAATTAAATATGGACCGGTTTGAGTAAATCTAATTAGTCAATAAAGAACTTCGAGTGGGTCAAAGACGAACTTCCAAAAGCCGGTTTGAACTTTGAAGTGGTCAAAGTTGGAGGCATTATGTGTTCTTGAGAAAGCACTCTCCGATGGTTAAAGTTAGATTTAGGATACATGTCGTATTTGTGTCATACTCGATAACGTAATGGTTCATGTCGTGTAACACCTATTAAAGTAAACAGGTAATATGGTCCGACCTGAAATCAACTCGTTAATATTATCAAGTAATATGATCCGACTCATTAAGTGTTAAAAAAATATATTTAAATCAATAAATAATGAAAATGAAGAACATAATTTGACTCAAAAAAATGTAAAAAATAATACTAAATTCGTATATACATACCACATTGTCACATAAATATTACTTCAAAACATAAAAAATAAAAACATTTGTCTTTCAAGTTTACATCCCCCAAAATAAAAGTCTAATGAAAAAACATTAGTGCATACTACAAAATACAAATGTTCAAAGATATGCAAAATGAAGAGAGTTGCGTTTCAAGGTTAAGAAACCTTGCACATTTTTGACAATAAAACCCTTCAATTTTCATCAATCACCAAGAGAAATGGTATTGGAACTTTGACTTGAAATATTGTCTTCAAGAGTTATATTGACGATGTTTTCACTAAGGTTTTCCATAATTCCATAAACTACAGATCTAAATATAACCGTTGATTGTCGTTTATATTTACGCTCCATTTTTCTCACCAAATTTTGGTTTTTTTTTTTGCGATTTTCTTTTTTGAAAACATGATCTCTTAGAGGATGCAAGAAGATGAATGGTTTGGATCGTTGAAATTACGTTCAATGTTTTACCATTAGTGAGAATATTAAAATATTAGAAGTTTATAAAGACTCTAGAAATTATATAACATCAACTCATATTTTACTTAATTGTAAATATTAGAATGTCATATCAACAATCCGAACCGTTCATTTTTATACATCCGCTCAAAGATCACTTTTCAAAAAAGAAAATTTTAAAAATGAAATTCGGTGAGTAGAATAAAGTGTAAACGACAATAGATGGTTAAATTTAAATCTAAGCTTTATGGATTATAGTGTCAGATTTCGGAGTTAACCCCTTCATAAAAGTTGTAAAACTTATCATTACAAGTGATTGTATATATATATTTTTTTTTTACATTTCACACTTCTACAATAATTAATTATTAATTTCATTAATTTTTCACTCAAATAAAAAACACTATTCATGAGATATGGATCTAAACGACCATGTAACATTTTCCTAAGCATAGAGGATACAATCACGGGCGTTTATATATACTTTCACATTTTTTTAGACTTATAAATTAATGATTATGATTTTATTTATTTTGAACTACCTTAAAATACTATTTATGAGGGTTTGTATAGTTTTAAAAATTGAAACGACGATGTACCCATCCTCAAAGTGTATAATATGCGATGACGAACATTTGCATATTTTTTCACATTTTTGTTACTTGTAAATTAATTATTATAAATTTTTTAATGTGTTTGGTATTTTTAAATTACTTGATATTTTTATTTTTAATGTGTTTTATGATTTTTAAATCTTAATCTTTGCCTATAGTAAACTATAAAAATAAAGGATTTTTATCACACATGATCCTTGAACTTGACCCTCACCATCAAGATGGACCTTGAAATGGAAAATCAATCAATGTAGTCCTTGAAAATAGGTGTTGCAAATCAACGTGGTCATTTCGTTACAATTCTGTTAAAAATTCTGTTATGTGCTGATGTGGCACATAAATGGGCCCCATAAGTCATTTTTGCTCACAAATGGTTCTTGAAATTGACCCACGACATCAAAATGGTCCCTAAAATTGAAAATTGATGAATGTAGTCCTGCAAGTAAGTGTCTCAAATCAATCTAGTCCCTTCATCACAATATTGTTTCTCCCATTCAGTGGATTGTTGAATTGTCATAAGTTCGATTTTCGTGATTTGGTGGTTTCTAACAAAAATCACTTTATGTGGGTACGAGACGTGAATCTCCACTTGACTATCAAGAAGCTGAGAAACAATTGAAGCTAACAATGGCATATAAAAGCTGAATAAGCCTCTGCCATGATCTTCATTCGAAAACTTAAGCCCGAAGCATTACAAACGGAAATACCTCCCGAAGGAGGATTCCATGGCTCTTTGGCTTGCTTTTATGGACCATTTAATCATGAAAGATATTGCCTGAAGCACACCATGATTACGTCCATGAATGAGTATGATTCTGAACTTTATAAATCCGATCGAATTTTGACTAAAGAATATTTTTCTCATCCTTCCATGTTTCTAACTCGCTCTTAAAGTGGCAGTGTAAAGAACGCAAGTTTACCAAATTCTTGAATCTGATTGCTACCACAGATATGAGAGAAAGGTATAGACTCAGCTTCGACTGGAGTCTACCGAATGGTGGTGCCCTACTTCGGCAAGGATGCACCGAAGGGTATGCTCTGCTTCGGCAAAGGTGCATCAAACGGTGTTGCTCTACTTTGGCAGAGGTATACCGAACAGACCCTTCCAGCTTCAGTTGGAGCATACCGAACCCAAGTTTGGGTCTGTCTCTCTCACAATCCAATTTCGAGTTTATTCTTTTACAACGTATGGTAAAATCAGGACCAGGCAAGGTGTGGCATCATGCCCGAAGCATGATCTTTGGCACCTAAGACCTAAAACTTAAAGAATAGGGACAATATTCTCGAACCTCAACCCTGTAGAATCTACTTCCATCTCAATGGAATAGATCATTGGTTATGCACATGTTTGTGCCTCTACCAATGTCATTGCGGATTACCATTCTAGTAGTCAATATGAGACTAATTTTGCTCTAAAAAACACCGTTGGAAGAGCAAAATTTTGACATGAATGACCTTGTTGGCCGAATCCCCTTAGTAACTTTGGTTTACTTTGTGAACATTTGTTGGATTCACGTTTGGTGTTTGTTTTAGTTATGGATTATGATATCGATATTGTCCTCAAAAATGAATTAATTAAATCCTGTTTCTTGTATATATGCTACTGAATTCAATTAAACACGTGATTAGGTAGGAATGTGGGAAAGTTAGTAATCTAGATGAATGTGATACTACGCGCACTAACTTTATACCTGAAATCATATCTCCAGTAACAACTTCAAGTCTATCCAACTTGATTAAGAGCATTGGCATGTTCCTCGTTGTATGAATAGTACTAAAATTACCATTTAAGAGACCTTATATTCTCCCTATTCTGGAAGAATGTCGTTGAGTTTTAAAGATATTTGAGACAACAATGAACATGAATGAAACCACTGATGGAAAATAGAGTTGAGTATCTTTGCACCACCTCCAAATAGGAGCCTAAAGCTTTATTTT